TCCACATCAATGTTGGAAAAAGGGAACTAATTCATGATTCAAAGCATAAGTGCAAAAAATTTTACAATACTTCTGATCCATGTTCATAGAACACATTAAGTTTGATCAAGCAGAGAACCTGCACAGACAGAAGCGGACTGTAGGTTAGCATGGCTCTGTTAGCACAGCACTCTGAATGCTGACTATAAGAATGTGAGCTCAGGCTGCAATTCACATGGATCCAAGGTGAGACACCAATCAGCAGAAATGAGGCATTTCTGTCATGAAGCCATGACAGCAGAACACATAAGCAAAACAAACACAACCCACATTTAAAGTTAGCTAAGTTTTCACCTGTGGCTGCTTTTAGAAGCCACAGGAAGGAGCAGCAACATAAAAGCTTATTAATGGATCTTAACAGCAGCTAGTTTCATTTGTAGGACTAAGCTTACAGCTATGGAAAAAAAGTTCTGACTTAACAAAGGGGCCTGGCTGCTGGGCTTAAGGTTCTGCTGAATCAGAAGCTGTCTCACATTTCACTCTGGAAATATAAATTAGCTAAAATCAGTTTTGCAAAAGCTGTAAATCAAAACAAAACCCTGATAAATTAATAACCATATTTAACACCACAAGTAGTGGTTAGTTTATTTTCAGAACAAAGTAAACAAATACAAAACATGTAACAAAGTCTGAATCCCACCAAATCATCAGGAGTGTTTTTTTTTTGTACAGTCTTTGTTACCCTATAAACAAAGAGCTAAAAATATATGAAAGTTTCAATAAAGTAGAGGGCGGTCCCACAATCCAAATCCCAGTGGCCAGATGGGAGAATATCTACTGTATGCAACACATTGTAGTAGGAAAACCCAACCTGAGAGAAACTTCTCATTTTCACCCCACAGGAGCAGAAAAGTGCAGCCAAGCTGAAACCAGATACTTTGATCAACAAACACATTTTTTATTTATCATTGTCTGAAGTTTAGTCTCACCAAACTTTTCTTGTTTTAGGTCCAGTTAGCATTAGCATAATTATTTCCATTTGCTAACTGCCAGAAAACTTAATGAATTTAATGAATGAATTTTAGAGAATTTTTAACTCTTCTCAAATTAAAAAGTTTACATACATTTGTTTAGTATCAGTTCTTTTAAAATGTATAATTTGAGTCAAACATTTCCGTATCCTCCCACAAACTCACAACATTTTGCTGGAGTTTAAAAGACCCCGATGCTGACCATAAAAATGTATGTAAACTTTTGAGTTTGAAAAAAAATCTCTAAAAAATGTTCTCACCAAGTTTTCTGGTACTTAGCAAATAGCAGAATTATTTGCTAATTATTTCTAATTCTAACTAAGCTACAGCAAGAGAAGTTTGGTCAGTTTTAATTTCAAACTGAAAAATAAATTTGTCTTTTGTTGTTGACTGTATGTGAACGTCTGGTTTCAACTACAAATACTAAGCAGGGATGGTTCTGTAACCAACAGCGTGGGTCTAACTAATGCTCATGGCAGATTCTGCAGGAGCTCCATCGCCCTCTCTAACAGGGGGTTTAAAACTTTCTTTAAGTTGGACATCCACATAAAGAATTCCTCTGGCATGTTAGCATTTAGCATCTTCAGGATTTGGCCCCACAGAAGATCTGGATCTGCAACGACACACAATCGAAGCAGGGATTTAGCTAGGACAAACCAGACCAAGGCTGGCAACATCAAACTGAACTGAGCCTCACACCAACTCCATCACTGGAGGAAAAACTAAATAAAACTAAGTGGGAACCTCCAACTCACACTTGCTGTCTTGTAATCAGACAAACAGACTTAATACACAAAGATTCCAGTCCAGCCTTCACAGGGAAGCTATGAGGACATTAATCTGGGTGAGTGAGGAAAACAATCAGCTGTTAAATAGATTCTGTTGGAGGAGAAGCAGGAAATTCCCAAAAAACACTCCAGAAAACACTGATCCAACAGGAAACCATCAAGGTGCCCAAAGAGAGTTTACACACACACAAAGGCAGGAAGAAGGAGCTCTCAGCTGCATGCTCCAATCACCATGACGATGCACTGATTTCAATTTTCCTGCACATAATGTTACGCTGCAAATCGCACATGTAAACGCAGCAGCCTCTGCTGGAGCTGATCAAGACTTGGGGAAATAAAAAGGTCAAGCTTGTTATAGACTCAGTAAGTTTAGGAAGGAGAAGTATGAGTTCCAGCAAATACACAGCCTGATGAAAGTATTCACACCCTCACATTGGCTTCATATGAACAGAGCAGGACCACAATCAGATGGTGGAAAAGGATTATATTCACTACTCCTACATTTACCTACCAATATGCCCAGAGATTTAAAGAGCATTTAAAGAGCTGATATGAGTTACAACATTTAATTTCTCTTTTGAATAAATAAAAGTTTAGGTAGTTCTGAAGAGTTTAAACACAAGTTCCTGGAAAACTTCCTAAGCTAGATTTGTGGATTTATTTCTATTTCTTTTATATATATATATGCTTCTTTGTGTCCTTTGGAGTTTCTGTGCTGATTAATTTTTTTGCGAAGTGATAAAAGCTGGTAGCTCTTGAATTGCTACAAAATAAAGCTATATTTCCTTCAGCCCACTGGCTGCAATGTTGACACGTTGAGACGCCATGAGACCTAAATTCTGATCATCATGGCATGGAGTGCATCCCAGTTTTGCATGTCTGGCATATAACCATTCATTTTATCTTTTAAACTGATTCTATTGATCTTGTGTCCAGACAG